TTCATATTTCTAGCATAAGGCCTAGTAGTGGGTCAATCATGGTGTATAGCCAGTAAAAATATATTGAAGGAAATCAATGAATTAATCAAGTAACTACGATTTTATAATATTTAAAGGAGACAATAACACAGAATATTCACATACACTTGAAATTCCAGAAACAATATATTACAATTGTGCAAAAATTATTATGTTTTTGGTCAATCACATGAAAATTAAAATCACTTTTTATAGTTTATTATATTTTTCAGTCTTACCTAGATGAGATGATAATGGTAGACTATAAGGGAATTGAATTCTACTTGTTGATATAAAGTTTAATTTAGTAGAAATGGAATAAACTGCTTCTCAGAGTTTTTGAAAACCAAATGGCAGATATTCAATCTCCGTTCAGCAGGATATTCATATGTCATTGCTTAAAACCAGATGCTTTATATTCATCACCAGACCTCACCACAAACAACTGATCTCATCCCTTTTCCTTCTCACATGGCTAATGTCCTGAAATCTCAGAATTATTTATGGCCATTTTCTGTTTGCTGTTCCTACCCCTCTCACATCTGAGTCCTGTTAATTTATCTTTTAAGTCTTTCGATTCTTCTTGTGATTCATATTCTTACAGCCTCTGCTTCAACAAAACCATATTGAGCTCTCAAAGAGACCTCTTAATTATTCTCCTACTTTGCATTTCCTAATTTCATATTGCATTCCACAAACTCTAAAGCTATTTAATCTTTCTAAGAGAGTCAAACCAAACTTATCAACTAGCCAACCAACAAACCAACAAACAAATCTCACTGCTTTTATCAGCGTCTTGCTTAAAATTTCCTTTATTCTTCATCTACTGCCTCCCCTTATATTTGACAGTATAATATTTAGTAATTAAGGCTTTCAATAATGACACTCCAACCTATGTTTCCCAATTTAGCTCTCATTAGCTTTTTTTCTCAAATTTTCAGCTTCTGTGAAGGTTTTATGTTCCTGACACAGGTCTTGCACAGTCTCACTCATAGGTTGTTGCTGATTTCATTTGTCTTACCCGTGAACGCTCTCCAATCTTGCTGTGCATTTTAAAAACTTTTCATTAAAAAAATTTAATCAGCAGAAAAATAAGAGATTGTGCATTTTTAACTCATCATCTAATTTTAACAATCATTAACATTTTGATATGGTAATCTTCACTATTTGTTGAACTTTTAAACAATAAATCAGATATGGTATTTCATAATTCAAAATGTTTCAATACGCAACTAACAGTATTTTATAACTTTATCATAATAGCATTATCACACCTAACAATATTAATAATATTTCCTTTATATCAGTTAATGCAGTAATCAGGTTTTCCTGATTATTTAAAAATAGGTGTTTTAGTTCTCATTTATTTAAAATCAAATAAGTTCCTCACATTGAATTTACTTACTATGTATCTTAATACTCTTTAAATGCAGAATAGACCTTTTTTATATTATTGAATTGTTGTATAAGTTGTAAACCTTAGGCCTTGGTTTGAGCCAGGTTTAATGCTTGGCAAGAAGCCTTCACAGGTGATGAGGTGTATTCAGCGTGCACTTACTGCCCAGTTATTATAAGCCTCTTTTAATCTAGGTAAGTCTCATTCCTTCAGTTCTGTTCCTGGTCCTTCCACACCTTCTATGAAGCATCACTCTGCTCACTAGAGTTCATTGATTTCTACCTTCTTTGAACACCTGTGGTGTTTATGGTCTATATGACAATATTTCACTTTTACCTATTTGTTATGCTATGTACCACTGTAAGTACATTTTCTATTTTGTGTTTAACTGGTCTGTTCAAATAGGTTGTAGGTCACTAGCAATCGATTCCTGCATATCATAGTTTTCCCCATGGCAAAGGGAATATTGTAGGTTTTCACTCCAGGTTTTACGATTTTTCTGGTTGACTCCACAGGTACTTATTCATGTCTTTTTCATTTTTTTTAAATTGAAGTATAGTTGCTTTATAATATAATATTAGTTTCAGGTGTATGACATAATGATTCAATATTTTTATAGATTATACTCCATTTAAAATTATTATAAAATATTGACTACATTCCCTGATGTGTACAATATACCCCTGTAGTTTATTTTTTTAATATACATTGTTGTTTATACCTCTTAATTCCCTACTCCTCTCTTGCCCCATCCCTCATCCCTCTCCCTGCTGGTAGCCACTAG